ACAGTGAACTAGAAACATTGCTACCCCGAGGTCTGTGAATGACAAATCCAATGAATCTTTATGAAATACATGTGTGCATGCACAAACACACACACACACACACACACACAGAGAGAGAGAGAGAGATACAGATAGACACACACTTAAATAATTTCAATCTAGTACATACTGAATGAATGTACATACTATAGTCATTAGGCTTTCAACAAACTCTTAAAGAATATAAGGAAAACCCTTTTTGATCAAACAAAAACTACTGGCATTACGTTCTTAAAATGGCCAACTAGATGCATGCAAGCCAACAAACAGGAGAAGTGCAATAGTACCCTCTAGCTTTTGCACCTAAGCAACAGGAACGGAGAGGCATACTGCCCCTGACTGGCACTAGGAAATAGCCATCATGTCATGTAGCCATTGAAACCTCATCCTCTGTGAAATGATAGTCTTGCAAGATAAATTTCCATAAAAATGTGGCTGATTTGCCAGAAGAGACCTGAATCTGAACTGGGATTATTCCTTGGATTATTCCCATTTTTAAAATCTTTGCTGATCAGAAATATGTTTTGGTGGTTCTCTAGTTTGATAGCAAGTATTCCTTCTTTGACGGATTGCTGCCTTGTCGTGGCGAAGGGACTTGAGTAATTCAGAGAAGCTATGGACTATGCTGTGCAGGGCCATCCAAGATGGACAGGTCATAGTGGAGAGTTCTGACTAAACATGATCCACCTGGAGCAGGAACTGGCAAGCCACTCCAGTATCTTTGCCAATGCGAAGAACCTGACAAGCCACTCCAGTATCTTTGCCAATAAAACTCTATGAACAGAAACAAAAAGATAAAAGATATGACACTGGAAGATGAGCCCCTCAGGTCATACTACTGAGGAAGAGAGGAGGACAAGAACAAGTAGCCCCAGAGCTAATGAAGTGGTTGGGCCAAAGCTGAAAGGATGCTCAGCTGCAGACGCACCTGGAAGTGAAAGGGAAGTCCAATGCTGCAAAGAAAAATACTGCATAGGAACCTGGAATGTAAGATTTATGAATCTTGGTAAGCTGGATGTGGTCAAACAGGAGATGGCAAGAATAAACATTGACATCCTGGGTGTGAGTGAACTAAAATGGATGGGAATGGGTGAATTCAATTCAGACAATTATCACATCTACTAGTGTGGGCGAGAATCTTGTAGAAGAAATGGAGTAGCCCTCATAGTCAACAAAAGAGTGGGAAAAGCTGTACTGGGATACAATTTCAAAAATGATAGAATGATTTCAATACGAATCCAAGGCAGACCTTTCAACATCACAGTAATCCATCTTTATGCACCAACCACCAATGCTGAAGAGGCTGAAACTGACCAATTCTATGAAGACTTACAACGCCTTCTAGAACTGACACCAAAGAAATATGTTTTTGTCATTATAGGGGATTGGAATGCTAAAGTAGGGAGTCAAGAGATAAAAGGAACAACAGGAAAATTTGACCTTGGAGTTCAAAACGAAGCAGGGCAAAGGCTCATAGAGTTTTGTCAAGAGAACAAGCTGGTCATCACAAACACTCTTTTCCAACAACACAAGAGGTGACTCTACACATGGAAATCTCGAGATGGGCAATACCAAAAATAGATTGATCATATTCTCTGCCGCGAAAGATGGAGAAGCTCGCTACAGTCAGCAAAAACAAGACCTGGAGCTGATTGTGACTCTGATCATCAGCTTCTTATAGCAAAAC